TTTTCATCAAATACGAAGTGTGGTTAAGTCGGATAAGCAACATTGAAGAGGGGGAGTGGGGGATATGCAAGTAAATTCAAGTTTTAGGTGTTTGTCATGATTTTTGCAAAAGTGGATTAAGTGTCCACATGAGTTTTGGCCAGGATTGTATGCCTGCTTACCTACGATTTGGGATTTTTAATTTACCCATCGATCAAGCACGTTGTCCAAGTTTAGTCATTGGCCAACGAACTGTCTAAGCTATTACGAGCCCAGCTCAATATCCGATTCATAGCACTGATCATGATAGTTATTAGTTACCATATAAGTGATAAAAATAAACATTTTTACTGTTATCAATATACTGAAAAACAACATTGGAAACGGAATGTAAACTTAAAGCGTTTATCCCCAATAAAATATACGAAAATAAGCCAAGCAAGAATAAGAAGTCAAAATTTAATCAAATGATCCACGAGACACAATTCAACTAAAAATATTTTAACGAAGTTCCTAGAGTAACAAAATAGCTATTTTAATAGATCTGCTAGAACATATAATTGCTTGCCAACATATAGCCGTGACGCCGACGTCACCATTGGCCAATTCAAATCATACTTGTTGAAATATTATCACGAAATGGCTGAACTTATATATGACACTAATGCACCACAATTCGATTTAAAACTGTCTGCGTTAAATGTCACTCGTGTTGATCCTTTGTTGAGCCTTGTAGATATAACGTGTTGTAATTGATGTAAATGTTTAGTTTAAGGGACCCTGTGAATGGGGCAATAAGCCCTGTAGGGATCACCAATCATTTAGCTCGTAAATAAATAAAAATAAAGAATATCTTTGCTAAATTAACGAGCTGTATGAATAAGAATGTCTTTACTGTATTAACGAGCACGCCTGCTTCATGTAATGATTGTAATCACAGTGTCATTTACTCATTTCTTTGATACAGGACTTGACATTAGCAGATCTTTTCATGGTCGGAGTTTATGGTTTTATTTTTGTTTCATTTATTGTCACCATAATTATGCTGAGATTACAGAGAGATAATTACTTCTACTTTGCTGACGTGTTCTACAGTTACACTGAGTGGCTGGTACGTAGTATTTAATAATATAGCAATAACGTCATTGTCGTCATACATCTCGACATATGATAACTTGGAACACTAGGTGATCTGGACACAGATCACCTTGCCTCCTCCACAGGCTCTCGTTGCATCTTGGGAAGGTCACAATTTCAAGAGGCTCTTTAAAACAAAATGGCATGCAGTCCCATCATGCATATGGAGTAACGCTTGCCTATACTTTTCAGTTGTCAACGTAAATTAATGTTTTAAAGCAATTTTGGGAACTACAGTAATACTAGTCCAACATTTTGCGCAGAGAACTCATGAAAATGCTCAAATTGTCTTGCTCTAATACTCAAAACGGCATTACTTTCTGCTTTTTACTTACAAAATACACTGAATTTTCACGGTTGTATGCGCTGCTTGTCTTTCTTATAATACAATATTCTGTGGGCACTGTCTGGGGTGTTTTTGATAATTACATGTTTTTGACAATGACCAAGTTATAAGCTACTATACCACCATGGTGGCAATATTGCATGCTTTCCAATGGCTGATTCCAGCTATGGACGAAATTTTGATCTAGACAAGAAAAACGAAATCCAACACCATAGCTGGAAAGAGCATCTTAAAATGAGTAAAACTGCAAAGTTTGGTTGCGAAATGTTGTAAAATGAAGAAAATATAGCCCTGTGAAGTTTGCAAATTTTGTATATAAATTATTTGTATTACACGCGGTAAAAATAACCACTTTCCGCTCAAAAATGGTTATTTTTCTCGTGCGTAATGCAAATATATACAAAATTTGCGAACTTCACAGAGCTATATTTTCCTCATTTTACAACATTTTGCAACCAAATTTTGCAAATTTACCCATTTTAAGATGCTCTTTCTAGTGTGGTGTTGGATTTCGTTCTTCTTGTCTAGATCAAAATTTCGTGCATAACTGAAATCACCCATTAGCTTTGTTTTCAAATTACAGTTGCTGTAGGCCTCCATAACTCAGGTTTAATACTAATTTTCACTTCGTTGATTTTTTAGGTTTGGTTTAGTGGGCCATCGTTTTTCTTTCTTTTGTACTACATGAGATTCACGCTCTATCGTGTTCTCATTGCTGAACTTGTCATTAGTTTGTGTGCTCTGCTTCTCAAGAAATGTTTCTCATTTTCAAAGTAAGAATTTATATAGTTTTGAAATATCTTAAAATGTCACCGAATCATATTACTATAGGAATTACATGAGAAAGTATGCAAATTGGGACTATAGTCCTGTACCCATTTTCTGCCGTTGTATTGTCATGACCGAAGTATAATTTTGTTGGGCTCATAATTAATGACCATTGCATACCTGATATGTTGGTATGACCATTGCATATCTGATATGTTGGTATGACCATTGCATATCTGATATGTTGGTATGACCATTGCATATCTGATATGTTGGTATGACCATTGCATATCTGATATGTTGGTATGACCATTGCATATCTGATATGTTGGTATGACCATTGCATGTCTGATATGTTGGTATGACCATTGCATATCTGATATGTTGGTATGACCATTGCATATCTGATATGTTGGTATGACCATTGCATATCTGATATGTTGGTATGACCATTGCATATCTGATATGTTGGTATGACCATTGCATATCTGATATGTTGGTATGACCATTGCATATCTGATATGTTGGTATGACCATTGCATATCTGATATGTTGGTATGACCATTGCATATCTGATATGTTGGTATGACCATTGCATATCTGGGTAAATAATTGCGTGACCCTGCTTATGACGTCACATGCATATCCACAATAATCCAAGATGGCGGACAGCTGGTCAAAAATATTTCGAGAACTAAACAACATTTGTAGAAGCGGTAAAAAGATTTTCCATATAATTTTAATAGTTCTTTCAAATGAGCAAACTTAATTTTTATTAAAGTTGGGCATAGAAACTGAGAATAAAGATCTTCCTTTTAATGCCTGATGTCGAAACGTCAGATGGGTCTAAACGTTTGTGTTATAGACCAAAAATGTGCAACAAATATCATTGAAGTCACAAATGAATTATACACGCAGCATACAAGTCAAAGAAATTGTGAATGTAAAAAAGTAGAAATAAACAAAATATACGCTATATACCCTGGACACCATCCCAACAAAATATTTTCTTTTTTGCAGAAAAATGGTGTTCAAGTTAACTTCATTTGATAAGATTTTAGAAAGACATTCATCAGCGAGTTCCCCAGATCAAAAAACGCCTGAAATCTACCATCATGTTTCCACAGCTGGTTTACGAAGTAGAGACGAGATCAGTAATCAATATCACATGTTACCACAAAATGAGGTGATGATCTTTGATATAGTGATTCATTCGAACATATCAAATTTAAATGAAATGCTTTCTAGGTCACCGTATTTTGAGTACTTTCGCCATGTTTGATTTGACATGCAGAAGTAAAGGTGTTATACAAGGAGCACGCGAGCACTGCTCGCAGAAAATGTTAAATAGCTGCAGGAATTTCGTTTGAATGAAGATTCGCTATTGAAAATTTGAAGGAAACCGTAACACCCATGTCCACTATGGGGCGCAACGACATATGGTTGACAGACATTATTCCTTGAATTTAAAACCATGGTCAGTTAGAACACTATATGTTTATGCACATACAGATTTAGCACAAAAATATTGGTCTGCGGAAAAAATTTTGTCTCCAGGTTGTGCTCCCAGGAAGAAAATTATTTTTTCCTGCCCTGATATATAAGCCTGCGACGAAGATTCATAGAGTCCGTGTGCATGGTTGGTTACCGTATGCTCTGTTAGTTTAGCTCCCTGGGACCGGGGTTATAATAAGTGGTGGGCTAAGTAGATGCTGGGGGCTAAATAGATGTTCACGTTCTTTTAAAAAAAGTTACAGACCCATCAATAGAGGGACAATTTCATACAATTTACCATTATTTAGCCATATCAGTGAACGTTATATATGTTTGTGTTTATATCTCGCTATGAGTTTATATTAAGAAAGACTTGATTAATAGAGGATGGGCTAAATGGAGGGTGCATGGGTGCTTATTTTGTTTCAGCGAATCTGGACTGGGAGCTAATTAGAAAGGGGGGGGGGAGCTGAATAGAGGAAATACTGTAAGTAGTGATTGTAGAAATAGTGCAAGTAGCTCCTGGTTTCCATTTCGTCGCAACTGTCATGACCAAGACATGATCGTCGATTGTTTTGTGATCTATCTTTTTTGTGTCCTTTGATTTTGCAATTCAGTCTCACAGAGATATCTACCGACGCTCTATTGCACAATTGTGACATGATCCAACAACCACACAACAAAACAACGAACTAGAAACTAGGCTAAAAACTGCCAAGCCAGCCAAGAAAGTATTGCATTGCTGTTTCGAATTATGACATTAAAAACGGGAAGAATATTCAAAGTATGGAAAAAGGGGTGAAGAAAAATTAACAAACAAGAAAAGTTAACAAACTCAAGAAAAATTAACAAACAAACGAATATGGACGAACGAATTATATATAGCATTTTTAACTCTCATTAACATATCATTTCGAGGTTACGCGTAATCTAATCCCGTAATCTGTGTTTGTTCTAGGACATAAATGCAGAAACTAGTGTTTTAGAAAGATCAAGAACTTGCTTTCCAGGAAAAATTGCTGACAGTGGAGACCGCTGTCCCAAACGGAAAATGGCTGCCAACAGGGAAACCTGAAACACAACCGCTCATGGTTGTCGAGATTGTGGTTGAATTAATGTAGCTAGATATAGCGCTATCCACCAGGGGAGGTTGTTTGAAAGTTGATTATAGCTTAACCCTAGGTTAACGTAAAATTCAAAGCAGATGTCCTGACATGCAGCTTCTCTATAAATTTGGAAATATACAATTACTTTATGGTTTCCGTGTTTGGATGGCCTGATCCAAACACGCGGGAATGTTGCGAGGGTTAAGAAAAGCGAGCGAAACACGAGCCGAAGGCGAGTGATTTTGCCCGCTTTTCTTAACTCGAGCAACATTCCCAAGTGTTTGGATCATTCCATCCAAACACGGAAACCATAAAGTAATTGTTTTATAAAATAACAACAACACGATAGCCTTCCGTGTTTGGATGGCCTGATCCAAACACGGGTTTCGACCAATCAGAATACGCGTTATGTACATGTTATTTTATAATGTTTCTTCAGAAATCTTGTCTGGATCGATAGGAGTTTACTTCTCTGAAGTTATGAAATAAACAGACGTGCAGAAATACACAAACCAAAAAACAGCGGGTTAAATTTTTACCGAAGGTTTAGCGCTAACCCACCTTTGAACAATCTCCCCGGATAGTGATTCAGTTATAACGTGTGTTGACCATAGTATAACCAAATTAAAGTTTGATAATCATAAATTAAAAAAAAAATTTAATATTTATTATGAGGTCTATATCAGTAGTTTCATAGCTTTTTAAACATTTTTGCGAAGGTTGAAAAAATCGCAATTCGATTGACAGTGTTATCGGCCTTCGTTAGATACCAAAGTATTCGTAGCATTAACGATATACATCCGGACTATTATAACTGAGTAAGTAAGTTCCTATCATCAGTAATTTCATAATTTCCGAACTGGACCATTCTCGGGTGAAATTGTTAGTGGTAATTAGTGCTGGAATATTTCTTAAATATAATTATGTTAGTTGGATGAGGAATTTTAATGTCTTCTTGATATTCAATGTATTATATTCAATAGAGGAATTCCAATGTTTTTGTAAGGAAATTGTTGGTTGATAATTAATGGGTGATTCCAGGTATAGACTAAATTTTGATCACTGAGGCAAGAAGAACGAAATCCAACACCACAGCTAGAAAGAGCGTCTTAGAATGAGTGGCTGCTAAGATTGGTTGCTAAATGTTGTAGAATGAAGAAAATAGCCCTGTGAAGTTCGCAAATTTTGTATATATTTGTTACGCGCGATAAAAATAACCACTTAGTTATAACCACTGGTTATTTTTCCCGCGCGTAATGCAAATATATACAAAATTTGCGAACTTCACAGGGCTATATTTTCCTCATTTTACTACAATTCGCAACCAAACTTTGCAATTTTACTCATTTCAAGATGCTCTTTCCAGCTATAGTAATGGATTTCGTTCTTCTTGTCTAGATCAAAATTTCGTCTACAGCTGGAATCACCATTGGTGGCTACCCAGCTCTGACTTGATGTGCTTGTGTAAATACAGCTAACCATTCATATTCTACCCACTCTATGATCAGATTATATGATCAGATATAGGTCGTATGGCGGTATGGTGACAGCCAGCGGCGTCCTGGAAGCCTGATATTCGGCTTCCGTTGCAATATTCAGCTCTATGCTGCAAATAGAAAAGAGAGCGGGCTAAGCCCCTCAAAAGATAAGGTTTATTATATATTCAATAATTCCCCGTTATGTGGTTTAAATCGGGCTTTCTGCATGTCAAATCCTCCTCAGAACCATAGTTAATTATTAACTATGTCAGAACGCAGAAAATGCCGTTTCAGAGAATGTTCCGGGGTAGCATGACCCCCCTAGAATTTGTTCACCCCCCCCCCCCAACCAAACCAATCTTCCGCAGTCTACGCATATGAACGTTTTCTCACTTTTCATACACAAAATATGATCCAACTGTCACAGCAGTAGTACAAGAAGTATTTAAAGTTAGGAGGGTTGAAATATGAAAATGGTAAAAAGTTAAAGAAGTTGAAGAAAAAACAGTCAAAAGAAATGAAAGGGAATTAGCATAGCTGAACTACCTGGCGATAGAGAAAGCTCACATTTTTTAAACAAGACATAACCGCTTAACCTATTCTTAGAGTTGCTTAGCCCCCTGTGAAAAATGTTACGGGTGCTGAAGCCCCCTCCCCGGTTCAAATTCATTTAAGGAATACGTCATCGACGTACCACAAATTGGCAATTTTCGCTACCTGTTTGAGGCCAAGTGAACGGAATTACAAAGTTGTGGTCAATGAAATATTCCTTAAAAATTAATCGATAGCATCACAGTTTATATAACTTTTCACAAGGGAACAGTACTACCTATATGCTGAAGTAAGTACCCAAAATGTCAATGCATTCAAAATCACATCAGTTAGCTGCATGCTTATGATCGCCCCATAAAAAATCACTTTCATTCACAAAATTATAAGCCCCATTTGGCTTGCACACCCATTATAAGCCCCATTTGGCTCAAGCCCCCCCCCCGGCTTCCGCTGCGTACGGCATGCTGAAAATATATAATTTTTGGGCGATAAGCACCTTGTAGTGGTTTGGCCGGTATTTTGTCATATTTTTAAAATATGATTATTATTTTATAATTTTAAGGACAGTTCAATGACAGGGGTTTATTTGGGTTGGGGGCACTGATGCTGAATAGTGAATACGAACACCTGCACGCAGGCTACTTCGAGGGCTAGTTGAATGACTAAATCTTCTATTTATTCACAAAAACTGCATTGTTTCCCGAACTTTCCTTGTGATATTAGCATCTTGTGGTAAAGTACACAATAAATCTATAAATCAGAGTTAAGAATGCAAAAAAAACCTCCAATATATTAGGAGAAATACAAAGTTTTGCACTTCAACTTTGAAAACGAAACGGGAATTTATGGGAAATCCCCCACAATGCCAGAGAACACAACGCTTGTCATCTGATTGGTCAGTTGGCAGCCAGCCGCATCATCATGTGACGTAATGAGTAAATTTGGGGAAGAAGGATACGTCCATTTGCTGCGTCATGTTGGAAAATTTTACTATGGACTGTAAATCTTGATATTTTCTTCACTGTTTGATGTAACACGTGATGATTAGATTACCTGAACATAATGACATAAGACCAACACCAAATCGATTTTCTGCATACGATGTTGAAAGCTTATTAGCTCCTTCCAATACATCGCAAACGACAACAGCGACCAGCTCGAAACTAACTGCCAAGGTTCAACCCTTTGAAGTAAGGGAGAATGATCTTATGGAATCAAGTAATCCTCGTCCGGAAAACGTGTTTCCAAAAGGACCTCGAAACCCTCCATTTTATCCTAGTCTAGGATATTCACCGTTTGCGTCGCCTTTATCTTTGGCAAATCTTCAATTGCAGTATTCGCTGTGGTCAGCTCAGGCTCATGCCGGCCTTATAAACTGGCCTTTATTTCATCATGCGAATCCTGTCTTTGCCCAAAGCGCATCAGGGACACAGTCTGAGTCGAATTCAAGTGATAGTAATCCCACCTATACAGCATTAACACCAAGAAGCCAAAACGGCGCAAAACATCAGTCAAATGAAGGTTAGAATTTAAGATTTTTAACTGCATGTACATTCCAATCATAGTCTTGCACTGTATCACACGAGGAATTTTTTCTGTCATTTATATCAAAGCGCTTCGCATGTGATTAAATTGGGCAACATACAAATTGTACCAATATACATCGTATGAAGTGTTTTGTCACAGTAAGATAGTCATTTGTGTTATGAAAGAGCTTGAGATGCTGTTCACATGAAGCTATGCTAGCCCTGAGTATTAAATGAGTTAGACTGGACCATTTGACAATATCCTAGTCGTGGCGGGGTATGTGATTGCAGTTGAGATGAATGCTGACTTCTTATGAGAGGGTTGTACCCATTAACAAAAAATGTAACTGTCAGCATTTTTCCCTTGATGTCATCCTGCCATTAGATCAAGTAAAATAAAGAAGTGTGAATAAGGGTGCATTGCAGCTTAACCCATTAAGCACCGGTGCTGTTCCCTCGATGAGTAAAATTGTCTGGCATTAGACAGAATAACATAATAAAGTAAGACACATTTGAGACTTTGGGCACAATGCAGCTCAATGGGTTAACTCGAAACATGGGCAGGTAGTCCGGCTGAAAACCAGCACTCTACCTTTGACGAGAAATTTATCTGACGTTGGACGGAGTAAAATAATAAAGTATCTAGGGTGCTACGGTATACAACTTAATGGGTTCATGGGTTAGAAAGAGAGGATTTAGTTGAGACTGAGTGTGGTTAATCTATTTAAATAGATCCTTTTAGGGAGTATGTGTGTCACTCATCATGTTCTCAAATGTATAATGTTGTATGCAAAGATTTCCATGGTCCTTTTGGATTTTAGCTATTGTAATCTAGTCAATTGGACAAAGTTTGTGCTCTTAATGTGACATGTTGCCATTTCAACTCAATATCTCCCATCGATTTTTCTATCGGCCCATTAACACTTTCCCTTCAACAATTAAGTCAAATTGTCTGATGTTAAACCAACCGATGTTAAACCAACAAGTAAAACCATGGGAGCCTAGGCTTTGGACCCCAAATGCACCTCGGTTCTGCACATCAGTTCTGCTCATAACAAAGGGGGAGCCCCAGATATAAACATTGCCCAAATTTTGCATCTTTCGAACTTTTTTGAATTGAAACGTGCAGTTTACATTCATTTACAAGCATAGCGAACCAGAAAAGTGTAAGATGTTCAGTTAGTATATCATATTTTACAAATATATATGGCAGTTCAAAATGTAAACAAAGTTCGCGCATTTGCACAGGAGTGGACATCATCTTTAGGGGTGCACTGGATTTCAAATCCGGCCGGATTTAACGAATTTTCCGGCATCCGGCTTCTGGCCGGATTTGGAGAAAATCCGGCCGGATTTAAATTTCTAACCATCAATTTGGCAGCTTTAAAGTTTAAAAAAAAACACTTATATTATTATAAAATATTAAGTTATTAACAAAAAGATGTTTAAAAAAGGTTTAAACACAATCAAAAATCTAAAGTGACACTAACTAAAAATAGTAAAAAACATAAACCGTCATTTTGAATACTGATTTATCCCCAATTGTCCCCATTACCGGTTTATCTCAAATCCGGCAAATCCGGCCAGAATTCTGGCCAGAATTTTTGTCCAAATCCGGTAAATCCGGTAACGGCCGGATTTGAAAATTCCAAATCTGGTGCACCCCTAATCATCTTTAATGTTAATGGTTGACTGGATGGGAGGAACATGTGTCATCCTGCTTCAATATTATATATAAATATAGAATGTAGTATGAGAAAAATATAAACATGCTTGGATCAAGACCAGATTTTGGTGGAAATGCTGGGGGAGGTGGGAAAAAATTTAGGGGAGGTGTAGTGGTCTAACTCACGACCCCCATGGAAAGTTAGGGCTTACTGTAGAACAGGCCAAAGTCAACGACAACAACATGACTTATGCATGTAGTGTACATAATTACATGTAGTGTATTAATGAATTATGACTGTATGACTCCAATCTTGCCCTTCATTACAATTACTACAAAGTTTCTTTCAAAACATTGCAATTAAAAGGCTATCACTGTTGAATCAATTTTACAGAAAAAAACTTTCTTACAAAGTGTAGAACCCTAAGCAACCATCAAATTTTCGCTTTGATCTAGTTATCATTGAAACTTTCCCAAGGGGAGGTGCATGACTTTTCAGGGGAGGTGCAAAAATTATCAGGGGAGGTGCAAAACGGTCTCAGGGGAGGTGCGCACCTCCCCTCAAAATCCCGCCTAGGCTTGGATCATATCCTGGCACAAACTCTGCTAGCATCTTTTTCTGCCTCTCATACAGTATAAATGTGTTGTGATGTATTCAACTGTGTGAAATTTGCTATTTCAACTTTGCTACCTTAGAAGTTCACTGCCTTAGAGTGTGTGCTGTTTATTGCACTCTTGCCCCAACAACCTCATTTTCACGTGGTTATTTCCTCATATATTTCATGCACAATACGGTTAGGGATAGAGCTGCTCCCGATTAATCGCTTATTGTTCCACAATCAATTATGCTGTACAGTATAATCGGATCATATATGTATAACACCATGCAGCGTGATGCGCGAATGAGTTTAATTAATTTCTTTCCTGATTAAAAACTTGTGACAAGATTGTGATTGAAACATAAATGACAAATTGATTCAAAACATTTTGGGTCAAATATCAATACTGCAGACATAAACGAATTATCCATAATAATAATAATAATTATAATAATAATCTTTATTTCATTGATAAAATACATATCGTATGTTGCATAGTAAAAACTTTCTTACTTCTATTTACAAATTGTTTTTGTTAAATATTTCTAAAACCTAAATTGCCAACTCGTGTTTAAAGATTAATCGATTCTTTAATATATAAAACAGTTTTAATTTATACCTAGTGGTGTTAACCTTTGGCTTAGGGATATGTTCAGTTCTGAAATTGTGTCCGGTATTTCTTATCTTCGGCAAGAATTCATAAAATGGATGGTTCTCTAATTTCCTAACCTTGTTAAAAATTATTTTATCTTGACATTTAAGAGTCTGAGTCTCACAAATTTAGTAAAGTTTAATTACAATTTAGAAACCAGTCAAACCAACATGGGCTGGTCATATTTAAATTAATTATCAATGCGATTAATCGATATTAATCGATTGTTGACAGTGATTAATTGATTACAAGAATTAACCGAGGGGAGCAGCTCTAGTTAGGGATACTAGACTTGTCATTGGGATCAAGTTAAAAAAGAGATATATTTGTGCAGAAAACATATGGACTTAACTTTCATGTGCTGCCATAATAAAACAGCAGGCAAGCATGAAAATGATTGGTGGAAAAGTTAGTAAAATGGTAGAGTCTATTAGCAGCAAACATCTCACATATAGTTGTATCTGTTGTTAACAACTTCACCACATCCATTTTTTTCAACAGACGTCACATCAGTTAATTCAAACAGTGCAACAGAAAGCCTTCTGGCAGCAAGTGAATGTCATATGGCTGTTTTACGAGATGATGATGGAGATACGTAAGTTCAGAAAATTTTGCACTTTGATTAAAGGCTTACACTAAGTGCACATGATTTCTGGTCAGTGAAATTTTTCAAGAGCCAGGACAAAACTCAGATTTTTCATGGCTATATATACTGTATGTTGGGGAGCCATAGAGCAACTACCTCAAACTAAGTTGAATTGAGAATTCAGGCCAGGGTAGAGGTATAGGGTTTTAGATTTTGGGAGCATTTCTAAATTTCCAGGGTGTGTGCTTGGCACTGCTTGCCAGTTACCCTGAGAATAGTCAAATTCACTGTCCCAGTTGCTCGCCATCAATAGACTATGCTCATTGGCTGATTTGGTTCATGATTTGCAAACAAAAATAAGGTGTGCGTACGCTTATACTGTATTTCACACCAACATTACAGTAAGTTAGAAACTCTTGGGGCATTTAAAGCCATTTTTAACACCATATATGTCCGGTTCCCATTACCTATATCCACAGATAACTTTTAGCAATTTCAACAATTGAAACTAGATTTTACAAACTTTCTTACAACATAAATAGGAGGAAATTCTGTCTTTTGCATCAGTATAACACTCTATTATTTTAACCTAATTTACATCAAATAATGAAGCCACATTCATTTTATTTTGGCCGTGCGAACAAATTAGCTAACACAGCTAGGGCCCTGGTGCTAGCATAGACTACTGTAAGCTCCATTCGAAGATTGCCTAGCTACTGTACCTCAAAAAAATAAATTCTGCAGGAATGACTCCAACTACCTTTGGGAGCTCAGTGTTATTTGCATGAATAGTATTAATTAAGTAGAATTTAATAGCAACTGGCCCAGTACTGCTCAAGATAGTTGATAGTAGTCTACAGTATGTGCAGTACCATAAAAGTTACAGCCACGGTTTGTGGCTATAAAATACTCCTGTTTCCGCCATACCTTATAGTCACAGTTTGTGGCTATTAAAGTATATATGCCTGTTTTCAGCAGCCCTCGCCACTCTCTGTGACTTACACAGGAGATTTTTATTCGACTTGAATTTTTCTGCCAGGAAGAGAAATATATTTTCTAGGCACTGGGGAAAAAATGCGAAATCCATACTATAACATTTAAAATTGCACCACTAAATCCATAGTATATCCATACTATGTCGATACTAGATCCATAGTATGGAAATATACAATTGTTGTGGGTAATCAAAAATCCATTCTATTTCCAATAAAGGTCCATACAATTTCCATTCTATGGATTTTCAATTTTTTTCCAGTGAGGCCTGGTAATTAAGTTCTCCACGGTAGCTGTAGTTACATATATGACGTCGCCACAAACGGGGTTCATGCCACTAATCTGGTGTATGCACTGACTATGACACCTCATACTTTAATAAATGTTTAATAAATAAAATGAAGGTTGGTAATTTCTACTGTTTCAGGCCATTACATATTGCCATTGTGCACGAAAATGCAAGACTAATACAAAAGTTAGTTGGTTTGATATCACTTTCTAAGCTGACTGTCAACACACCCAATAACCTATCTCAGGTAAGATTTATATTTTATAGAATTATATTCTTCATAAAATACAGTACTATCGATTCCCCAATGTTAACCCGCTTAATAAACAGAAACCAAAGACGTCGATCGCTATATGCACTTGCCATGACCGTAAGCAAGATGTGGTATCTGGAATGTAGATCTTGAAACGAACTGCAGTTCAGTAGAGGGAATAATAAATTTCCGGCTCGTCTGAAAATGGAACTTGGAAAACACTGTGCAGTAAAGCCTGGTTTCCATATGGTCGTAACTGTCGCGAACGTGTTGTAGCAAACTGTCGTCAGAGTAGTGCTCGCGACCAAATGGAAACGTGAAGAAAAGCCTTGTCCCGACACGCTGGCGACAGTTCACGACAGTTACAACAGTGTCGTCGAGATGGACTCGAGTTCTATCTCGACGACAGTTGCGACAGGCTAAAAACGTGTCGTGACGGTTATGGTTAACGGAAACAGAAAAACGACAATGTGGCAACAGTTTGTCTTTTTAAAACTGCCGCCAACGAGTCGTTTCGCCAACTGTCAGTTCACCAACGTCTAAGTTCGCCAACGTCTCAGTTCGCCAACGTCTCAGTTCGCCAACGTCTCAGTTCGCCAACGTCTCAGTTCGCCAACGTCTCAGGTCGATTCGCCAACGTTCGCCCACGTTCTTATGTCAGTTCGCCAACGTTGCATATAGTTCATATGAGACACGGATATATAAATCTATTGTTTGTAGAAAATAACCGAAATAGCAAATTCTCCCGACATTTATTTTTAGACGGTCTAAAACAAGTTTAATCAGCGGACGCTAAACAAGTAATTTTTTTGTAGGGCCTTAAACTCACGAAATGTGAAAGTTTTTAACTTTTTATGCACTAACAAAATTCCACAATAGAGCATAGAACAATAACCAAGGACACCCACGGTAATTAGTCACGGCCCGAGACGTTGGCAAACTGACAGTTGGCGAAACGACCGGTTACCGTACGATCCCTGGGTACGAAATGAACTTGCGACAGTGCACTAGTGTAACGACAGTTACAACCATAATATGGAAACACGCATATAAAAATCATTCAAGACAAACACTTCACGACACGTTTGCGACAGTTACAACCATATGGAAACTATGCTTAAGTTCACTACAAACAAACTGTTGCTCGTAAATGCATCAGCATGCTCGATGGGTAAATTATTTGTACGGCGTAGTAAGATTTTTTGATTTAGAAATGGGCTGGGTTTTTTCTTGTTTGATTTTCTATAAATTAGTGGATAATTTTCGGTAATCGACGATTAAATTGTTCAATTTAGATTACAAATTGTACCTACTTTTTCTGTGGTTTTGTATGTTGGGACTTAATAAGAGACTTATGTTCTGTCATGTCCTCACCATCGATCATTATAGCTATATGATTGTTAAGCAATAATTAAAAAAAGAAACCCTCTTCTGTTCTGGCATGAAAAATGACCTATATGTTCCAGGTGTAGGGTCGGTCGTTCGAAGGCTGGATATAAAGTGGATAGCACTATCCACCAGTTAGTAATTTGTTCAACTTTCAAAAATTAGTACCTATAGGTAATAGTATGGTTTCGAGTGCAATTTGGAAAAAAACATGCACGAGTGACTATCAAAATTGCACGAGTGACTATCAAAAGTGTGCAATTTGAATACGAGTGCAATTTGAAGTCTTTGAAAAACTCACGAGTGTATGTTTTTTTTTCAAATTGCACGAGAAACCATACGTATATTACTTATTAATAATGTACATGAAAAAATTATGAGGTCACGTCACATTTAGAACTTAAGAAAATTAAGAAAGTTGAAAAATAAAAATTAAGAAATTTGCACTGTATTTCATTTTTTGGCACTGTATTTTAACCATTGAATGGTGTAACCAGCATTTTAAACTTATTGTGAAGTCGCCCAGTGTGCGAATTAACGGTGTGCAATGTGCAATTTGCACATCGTTTTGGCCAAAATGGGGGTAAATTGCACATCACTTTTTCAAACGATGTGCAAAAGAAAAATTATAAACGTTTCATGTTTACAAATTAATGACAATTAATCCGCTTTTATAAAGTGCTTTTTCAGCAACGCATTAACGCATTTGAAATATGAGACGTGTTTAACACAGCAAAGATTGAGTAACACTAGCGTTGCTAGTGTTACTCAATCTTTGCTGTGTTAAACACGTCTCATATTTCTCTAGCAGCGCCAGCGAGAGAAACACGTGCAGAGTTCTGCATCATTAACTAGCATTCTTTAAGCCAATTACGATACAGTTTTCATCAAAATCTTTATCTGATTGGCTCGTTCCTGGAGAACCATGGCATGTATATGCAGCATCTTGAGCAGGTAAAAATGGCGAATTTTACTCTCTTCACCAGCTGGTAAAGAGAAGTTTTCAAACATTCTGAACATTGTGGAACTGTTATTGATTACACCCATCTCGAATGCTGTGGTTGAACGGATGCTCTCCACAATGGCGAGAATGAAACCACACCTCTGCAACAGAATGTCATCAGATAGATTGGACTGTCTTTTGAGAATTAGTGAGGAGGGACCTTCAAATGAAGGATCGGATTCGGTGGCCACGCTTATCCGGAGAAACGGAGAAGAAAGTCGAGACGTCGGACGCATCACGGCGACATGCCTATTTTTCGGATCAAGAGTTGTCGGAAAGTAGTGCTGTGCGCCGGAGTTCTGCCGGAGCTCCGGCGGTTTTTCCGATGCCGGAGCAGAATTTTGTATGCTGGAGCACGCAGTTACATTTTTCCAACTCCGGCAAAATGACAAGAAAACAATTGAAATGAGACAAATGTCAAACGGATTGTTAGTTACTGCAAACTGCCAATTGCTGTTAATGAATTCACTCAAAGAATCATAGACTCAAACTGCCACAGTCCACAGGAACAGCATCGAAAAGCTGTAATACGATCGCAACTTACTAACGTCATGCTTTCGTGAAGCCATCTGACTTAGCACTACATAGTCTGTGTATTCATGCCTTGTCGATAATGAAAAAGTACAAAACATTGCGAACAATTGCGCTGTGGAGTCTGAGAGTGTTAGCGTCATGCCTCGCGTCATGCTACTGTATAAAAATTGCAACACTGTCATAAAATTTTCGAGGCTGGTTTCCATATAGATATTTTCTGCGTGGTTAAGTGTTTTCACTGTTTTGTTTCCTGAGTTATGTTATCTGATAATTAGGAAGTGCGAAAAGGGTTATTCATAATAATATTAATAAATGTTCTCTGATCGTAAAACATTTATTTAATATTTTATGATGTGGCCGGAGCTCAGAGTTATAGTTCGGCCGGAGCCGGAGATGGAACTGGAGTTTGCACAGCACTATCAGAAAGTGACTAGCTTATATATAAGGAATTTAACATTTTAACTTGTTTATATGTATATTAAATGCACGTATTAGAAATATTAGATTACTGCACATAGTAGTTGGCTTAATGGAGTATTTGATTGAATGTGACTCTGAGTAGCTAGATGTATAACATCAATCTGAACCAATTTTATGACTCTGGAGGTACATTTTTCTCGAGAAAAAATTGCACATCGTTTTTTCTCCACTAATTCGCACACTGTGAAGTCCATATCTGTAGTTCTACATCTTTTTAGGTATTTTTACGAAGCTTGAAAGCTTTGCTTTCGATCTGTAAGCTTCTTCATCAGTGCTATAGTAATATAAAGTCTAAAGATCTCGAATGTGAACCATATATATTGTTATATTTGCAGACAGCATTACATCTTGCAGTTCTCACCGAGCAACCAATGGTGGTTGAACAGCTCATGGACGCTGGTGCAGATCCCAACGCACAAGATCGGAATGGACAAACTGCAATACATTTATGTGCAGCTAACGGAGATAACAGATGTTTAACTAAAATAATTCATGCAAAACCAAAGAATTTAGATCTGGAAATAAAGAATTATGATGGATTGACTGCATTACATTTAGCAGTGCAGAAAAAGCATCAAAGTATAGTGAAATCTTTAATACAATATGGTGCAAATAAGAACGCCAAGGTAATGTGATCGTACCAAAATATAGTGTTACTGAAATGGTATACTAACAGTAACAGTTGTACTGTTATTTCAACGACACGTCGCTTTTCGTATATTTTTTCTCTTTGCTCATTTTGCCATCTACATACGTAAAAATCTTGCAACTTGTCAAGAAGATGTGTTCACAGAGGCTTTTAGCAAGCTTGTCAACAAATTATAGCAATGCTGTTATTTTATCAAGTTGCTACAAGGTTGGCATTCACAACTTGTTGACAAATTGTTGAATTGCAAGACGATATAGCAACTTGTTGGAACAACTTATGACAAGTCTGTTGAGTTCAACAACCTTGTAGCAAGTTGTCAACAAGCCGTAGACAACTTGTCAACAAGCAGTGCGAACACATCCTGTTGACAAGTTGTTGGAACAGCATTCCTACAAGTTTGTTGCAGGTTTGTTACAACTGGTGTCTTATGCGTTTTTGCGTGCGTGCTTTGTTAAAATGGCAATAGTGTTTAAACTATTACTAGAAGACGCAAGCAGGTCAAGTTTTTTGTTAACCGAAATGTGCACTTCATTTAGATCTTATGTAGGACACGATAAATGAGAGAATGTCATTGTTGTGTTGTGTACATGTTGTGTTGTGTTGTGTAATATTTGATGAATTTGAGTTTTAATTGTCAATTTTGATACTGTAAATATAATTATATTTGGTTGAATTTTCCAAATGATGTTCGTTCCGGATAGACAGACAGGCAGTCATTGGCTCTTCTCCAGGTCGACCCCAATTGTTCTTCTCGTGATTGATGGCCTCCCTCGTTTTCTTTTTCCGTTGATCACGCAGTTTCCAGTCAAGTGCTGCTTTTGCTATTTTTGGAAGTTGAAATAAAGAGCAGCGCAAAAATTGCTGAATTTTAATATCTGTTATTTTACTTTAGGATGGTAAAAGCGGCCACACGCCACTTCACCACGCTATTGACCAGGAATGTGGAGAAATTTTGCAGTTGCTGGTAGCTGAAGGAGCAAACATTAATAGACCAAATTATTCTGGTGTAACCCCAATACAAAATGCTAACTGTTGTCGTAATGAAGCGATCTCAAAGATAATTCTTTCTCAAGAGACAGTTCCACCCACTACAACACCGGTTCGACCATCTGCCATACAACCTACTTCAGCTGCAGTAGTTAACAGCCCCCAAACAACAAATGTATCAACAATATCAAGCCCGAGTGCCACAAACACAGCCAAGGTGTGATATTATTAGTATATGCAGAGCCGCCGAGAGGGAGGGGGCGGGGGGGGGATTGCCCCGGACCCCCACCTTATAGGGCACCAACTTGAGAGAGAGAGCCTAAAATTGAGTAGGTTCATTAAATTGGTCAGAGAATTTTTGAAAGCGAGGACCCCTTGCAGTAGCTCAACATCCCTCCACATGCAGTCTAGCTAAGGTCTAGTTGGGTGACTGACTTGGGTCTAGCTTAAAAATAATGATGTCATGGGGCCCCCAGTGAAGATTTGTCCCGGACCCCGCAAATTCTCTCGGCGACCCTGGTTATATGGTAAAATTACAAACCATGGGAATGATGGGATAGACAATCACATACGTCGAGTATTTTAATGAAAACGTACTTTCCTACTTTACTTGTAAACTAAAGTATTACTTTTCACATACACATGTTGGCATCTTTGTCTCCCCTACAATGTTGGTTTTGACATGCATTTCACAAAGCTTTCACCTAACCAATATAAGCTTTCAACTAGTGCTGTGCGAACTCCGGGTTTTTCACCTCCGGCTCCAGGAAAAAAAACTCCGGCAGAAAATTTCCAGCTCCGGCAAATTGTGAAAATTCGAAATTTAATGGAAATTTCACATTTCAAAGTGGAAGAACTATCTTTAAGAGTTTTTGATTTTAACACTTGGCATATGAACATTTCGTAATTCGTACTATGTTTGTCAGTTTGTGGCAAGCCTATGCAGTATCGATGCGAGTACTTACTTTTTCGTCGATGGATTCAGGTTTTTTCGCCGACAGTAGTTTGCAGCACAAATAAGTGCTGCCGGAGTTTAACAAACTTCGCCTGCGGCAAAATAGGCCACAATTCCGGCGCACAGCACTACTTTCAACATTGAACATGGGGGAGGGGAAAGTTAAAAATTGCTGTTATTTGCATGTATTTCTATTTCCATGCACGCTGTCCACAATAATTTTTGCCAGGATTGTAGCTCAAATTCCTTTCAACCCCCAACCTCTCAATCCCCTGTACTTTGAGAAGTTGAAAATTTGAATCCCTCAATTTCCTGTCAGTTTTGGGTCCATATATAGTCAACTAAAAAATAACAATTTTAGCAAGAGCATGTCCTTCGGCCAGTAGGGGAGTAACTGTTTTACGACTTTTCGTACCACAGCATATACAAGGCTCACGGGAGAATGGACGTTTGGTTTTGCTGCGCATGAAGTTATTTCAAGTACTTGCTATTCATAATAGTGGTTAATTCTTTTTCATTTGTTTTTTTTTCAGGAGAGTGAAAACAAAGCTGAAACGCTGAAGCGCAGATTTGAATCATCACCTTCAACATCAAAGCGTGCAAGGACCGAAGTTACCAAATAAATTCATTTTACATATATCTTATCGCAACCATAATATATTTCACTGCGCCATGGCAGCTAGTAAATGAATTGAATTCATCAAACAAGTCAGACTTCTGTACGTTTCATTATATAATTTATTATAGTAAAATGTAAACGGAAGCCAAATGCCTTAGGCAATGTTGGCCAGTGAACTTATATATAGTCGTTCATCTCTAATCATGCTGTGTTCATAAATATAGGTCTGATACAGGGTTAAGCTAGGTTAAGCATGCTGTACTTTTTTGTCAACATCACACGAAGCCATGAAGCATGCATAGATACGATTGTCATGCTTATGATTTCAAGCAAGAACTATATTAGTGTGTGTGATGTCCATTAAGAAGGCCCATTTTCACTTAAGAAAATTTTCCGCAGAAAGAAAATTTTATAAGATGTGATTCGCCGACACCAATTTTCCGCCGGAAAAAAATTTTGAAGTTGAAGTTGAAAATTTTCAACTTTTAACAATGATTTTTTCTGAAACTTTTCTGTTCTTGCATCGCATTGGACGATAGCGTGTCACGTGAAAGTCATGAGATTCGACTGTCTCCAACAATACTTTCAACTTTTTTCAATCCAATTTTTAACAATCCACCAATGAATGATAACATCGCTCAGTTATGGAGAAAAGTCGTGGAACTTTCTCCTGTTTGGTTGTTTGACACTTGGTAAAATAAACTTATTGAATGGGATTAAGAAACAATATGTTTTGTGGACTCTCGATTGACAAGTTGGTCTCGGCTCCATAAGTAAAATTTGTAGCTGTGTCAAAAGTCTTATTGTAAAACTATACGAAAATAAATCATTTTAATCATTTACCTTCTTTATTGTCTTGGTGAGTAGAAAATCATCTACAGAGGCCGCGGAAGCATTTCGAAAGTGGAGGGGCATTGGCCAAAAAGGGCACTTTTGTATATGATCAAAATCAAACGATTTTATGTCGTTCACGAGCCGAACGAAAATTTTTGAAAATATGGAGTCTCTATAACGTCGGAAATGGCCTACTGCAAAAAGGGCACTTTCTTTCCAGCAAAAGAGGGCGTTTATTCAAGAAATACATTTTTCGTTCTGTAAATGGGGCACTTTAGCCCAGAAAAAAGGGCACTTTTTTCACTTTTAAAAAAGTGGGGGGCACATGCCCCCGTTGCCCGGTTCCCCGGCCCCTGATCATCTATTACTTTTTTTTTTTTATTTTTTTTTTTTTTATCATCTATTACATTGAAACTAAAGGCATCAAACGAAAAAATAAACACGTTTATGTCCGTACCGAAATCGGCCTCAGAAGCGTCCCTCTGCCGCTTCCGAGGCCGGTTTACACCACGTTCAATTTCCGACTACCTATTTACAAAGGCCGAACACGGATAAATTTGGTACGGGTACCAATTTTGTCCGTACCAAAAATTGAGCGTAGTGTAAACGGGGCTTGAGACCTCGGGAAAATAAATTTTTCAGCACGGAACTCCCAGTCGATAAATATATATTCATGCATGCAAATATATGGTAGATTAATATGACCTGGTAGTCTATAGTGGTACCGCTCAAGGCCTTTGGGTGCTATGGTGAAGGATCGAGTCCGGGCTATTATGGCTGAGACAGTGTGACATCATCACATAATGAGTTTTTAGAAAAGTATAGTTTTCTTGATGAATACGTATCTAAGAAACTTAAAAATTGCCCTTGTATATGTATTAATTTCATAACTGGTAATTAACCCTCTGACTGTATTTGTTTGTAAAAATAGTTTATCAAGGTAAAATATTGCGTTTTCAAAATGTCATTATGCGATGTGATGTCACACCGGTGATATTTGCATATGAAACAAAGTTAAATATCTTGCAAAGGAAGCAAGTTACCAAAGTTCTATAAACGAAATTATTAAGTCATTTTAAGTGATGTTTACGATGCAACTATAAACATTTGGGGTGAGATTTCGTGTCATAGGCACTTTAACGACGACAAATACGCTTCTGGCAAAATGGGTTTCTCACGCTTCCTCAGATCGAACACCGTAATAACTCTAGCTGTGGAGCACATTGGTGTTCAAACAAACATTCGATAACAAGAGGGGCTCTTGATGGAGGTAGCTAATCTTCGAGTTAACCCCTTTTCGAGTCTTACCCCGACCACGCCCAAACCACACCCATTTTCGTCAAGGGCTTAACTCGAAGAAAGAAACACTAAAACACAACTTGGAAAGTTCGAGTTAAGCCCCGTGAAAAAAGAGGGGCTTAACTCGAAGTCAATATTCGAAGCTCGAATTAAACCCCGACATTTGAAGCATGTAAAAGAGCAATCATTTGAGTTGTCCACAATCTAGCTGGAAATAGTTATACGTCTCGGCCTAAATAAGCTGCAGCCTAAATGAGTCGCGAACAACACATGAGCCTTAAATTTTTATCACGAAAATATTAAAGACTTTACTTTAAAATATAAAGAACTTAAAGCAGCTCGAGGCAAGATACTCTATTGTAACTAAAGAAGTATTGCAACTGTGTCAAGCCAGGATCGATTCCTGGTGGTATCAACAATTTCACCAAATTGCCAAGAAGTGAAGGCTGAAATTGAATATTTTTTCACATAATTCGGCAATGCACCATTAGCTAGAAAATAATATTCGAGATAATCATCAATGAACACGATAGTCTATAGCGCACCGTGATCAATCCATTCTGACATTAAGAAATTTAGTTTTTGACAGGTTTTGTGAGGTTGGTTAAATATTTTAAATGATCCAGTGAAAGGCTAACAAAATAGAAAACATATATTCCTTCTTACTCTTAGAAAAGCGGTTAAAAAGGCAAAGGTTAACCGATAAGCCCTTATACTAATACTTTATATCAATAAATTTGTTGCTGGACTTGAAAAACGAGCTAGTGGTCTTGTGGTAAAGTTTATAGGCTGTGTAATATACCAGCTGTGGTTCAAGTAATGTAGTGGTTCAATTATACTAGCTAGAGAAAAAATAAGGCGATGCGGTTTGCTTCCAACAACAAGCAAGTGGTCTTGTTGTAAAGTCTACAGGCTGTGTAATGTACCAATGCGGTTCAAATCCTACGCCAGTCATTTTGTGATTTGAAAATTGTTGAATTTTAATTAAATTAAACAAGCTAGAGAAAAACATAAGGTGAATAAGTTGCGTTATATGCTTCCAACAACGAGCAAGTAGTCTTGTGAAATGCGTCGAATATTAATTATACAAGCTAGACAAAAAATAAGGTGAATATAAAGTTGCGTTAGGCTTCCAACACCGAGCAAGTGGTCTATTGGTTAAGACAACAGGTTGCGTTATGTACATTGTAGTACGATAGTGATTCATGTCCTAGAGAAGCCATTTTGCGATTTGAAAATGGTACGTTGAATTTTAATTATACAAGCTAGAGAAAAAAATAAGGCGAATAAGTTGCCTTAGGCTTCCAACTACAAGCAAGTGATCTAGCGGTACATGCATGCATGTTGTGTAGTGTAACAGCAGCGGTTCAAGTCCTACAACAGCCATTTTGTGATTTGAAAAATAAGGTGAATAAGTTGCGTTAGGCTTCCAACAACCAACAAGTGATCTTCTGCATGGTAAAGACTACTGGCTGTGTAATGCACCATTGTGCTTCATGTCCTAGAAAAGCCATACTGCGATTTGAAAATGGTTGAATTTTAATTATTTACAAACTAGAGAAAAAAATAAGGTGAATAAGTTGCGTTAGGCTTCCCGACTACAAGCAAGTGATCTTGCGGTAAAGTCGATCTACTAAAACGGTTAAGGTGAAAAAGATGCGATAGGATTTCAACGACGGGCAAGTGGTCAAGTGGTAAAGTCTAAACACTGTGTAATGTACCATTTTGGTTCAAATCTTAGAAAAATCATTTTGTGTCTTGAAATGTGTCGAATATTACTAGAGAAAAAGGGTTAAGGTGATTAAGTTGCAATAGGTTTTAAACAACGAACAAGTGTTCTAGTGGTAAAGACTACACGCTGAGTAATGCCCTATTATGGTTCAAATCCTAGAACAATCATTTTGCAACTTGAAATGTGTGGAATATTAATTGCACAAGCTGGAGAAAAAGGTTAAGGTGAATAAGTGGCGCAACAACGATCAAGTGGTCTAGTGGTCAAGACGCTGTGTAATGTACCATTGTGGTTCGAGTCCGACAAAAACAATTTTGTGACTTGAAATGTGTCAAGCTAGAAAAAGACAGCTTAGGTAAATAAGCTGCGGACGGTTACCAACAACGAGCCACTGGTCTAGTGGTAAAGACTACGCGCTGTCAGTGACGTACCATTGTGGTCCAAGTCCTACAAAAGTGATTTTGTGACTTGAAATGTGAAAAATATTAATTCCACAAACTAGAGAAAAACGGTTAAGTTGCGGTAGGTTTCCAACAACAAGTAAATGGTCTAGTGGTAATGACTACCGTCTGTGTAATGAACTATTGTGGTTCTAATCCTACAAAAATCATTTGGTGACTTGAAATGTGGCGACTTATAATTGCACAAACTAGAGGAGAACGGCTAAGGTGAATAAGTAGCCGTAGGTTTCTTGAAATGTGAAAAATATAAATTGCACAAACTAGAGAAAAAAGGATAAAGTGACTAAGTTGCGCTAGGATTACAACAACGAGCAAGTGGTCTAGTGGTAAAGACCGTTACGCACTGTGTAATGCACCATTGTGGTTCAAGTCCTACAAAAATCATTTTGTGACTTGAAATGTGTCGAATATTAGTTCCACAAACTAGAGAAAAAAGGATAAAGTGACTAAGTTGCGCAAGGGTTACAACAACGAGCAAGTGGTCTAGTGGTAAAGATTACAGGCTGCGTAATGTACCATTGTGGTTCAAGTCCTACCAAAATCATTTTGTCACTTGAAATGTGCCACAAGCTAGAGAAAAACGGTTAAGGTGAATAAGTAGCTGTAGGTTTCCAACAACGAGAAAGTAACCTAGTGGTGAAGACTACAGGCTGTGTAATGTACCATTGTGTGCAGTGCCGCAGAGAGGTTGGCGGGGGCCCGGGGCAAAAATTGGGGGGGGGGGGCCCTTTTTGAAAATCAGTGCACCATTTTAGGGGTTTTCGGTCAGTGCACCATTTTAGGGGTCAAAAATTTTGCCGGACGAGTAGATTGCACGCACTTTCCAGAGACTTTATCTCATTTTTTATGCATAATTTCGGTACTTAGCCCAATAAAACAGATATGTTGTCCTTTGCGCGGAAATATTTAACACAAAAAAAAGACTGGGGTCCAACAAACATTTTTCAGGGGCCCCCAGCACCTCGGGGCCCTTGTGTGTCAAGTCCTAGAAAAATCATTTTGTGACTTGAAATATGTCGAATATTAATTACACAAGCTAGAGAAAAACGGTTAAGGTGAATAAATAGCTGTAGGTTTCTAACAACGGGCAAGTGGTCTAGTGGTAAAGACTACACACTGTGTAATGTACCATTGTGGTTCAAGTCCTACAAAAATCATTTTGTGACTTGAAATGTGTCGAGTATTAAGCTATCTAGAGAATAAAGGTTAAGGTGAATAAGATGGGGTAGGCTTTCAACAGCGAGCAAGTGGTCTAGTGGTAGCGATATCGGCCAGTAAAAGCCGATGCCGTGTATCAGGATCGGTTCGTGGATGAATGAAAGAATAATAAAGAAAAAAGGTGGTGGACGAAAGGAGAAGAATACTAAAGAAAATGGCGGCCGGGCAAATGTTTGGAGAAGATACTACCAATCAAATTAATCTTTAGTAGTTACCATGGTGTGGCGCATGCGCGGTAGACTTAGAATATGACAGCGTGCGGTGGGAAGGTGGCAAGGGAGGAGAGAAGGGCGAGGGCCCCCGGGGAGGGGGACAAGGAGAGGCAAAATATATTTATTTTTTTTTACTAAGTCTTTTTCTTTACTTTTTGAGCAAGATACGCCAGTGTTTTTCCTCAGAAGTTTCGGGGAAAGAGAACCCCCGAATTCTGTCCCACTCCGCATGCAGCCGGTCAGATCGATTACCTGAGCACGAAGTCTCAGCTGGTCTTACCCGGACTCGATCCTTCCACCATAGCACCCGTAGGCTTTGAGTGGTACCTCTAGACTACTAGGTCTATTGGTGAAAGCTTAATGTTTTCAATCATAGCTAATCCTTTTACTCTACCCTATAATTAATTCGCACCCCTGACAAAGGCCAAAAGATTCTTGTCAGGGCAGGAAATGATCCTGACTTAACCGACATGCGACACTTAGCCGAGACCACTAGACCATCGTGCCTGTTGCTTGCTAGCTGGTATACTTTTGATTTTATTCGACTCTTTACTCTCGGAGGTGGAATCATACACTATTTCTCTCGCAATTTTGTTGCAACACAAGTTGTACGTGAAATTACAAGATGTATCATCTCTCGCAATCTTATTGTTGCAACAACCATTGCACGAAGTAGAATCAGGTTCGAATTTCGCAACGATTGCGGGAACTCATTTTTAAAGCATTCACATTGTAGCATCCCTCTTGCAACTAGTCTCGCAATATTTATACTGTACATTGAACGGCTTCCTATTGGCTT